CTTTTGGGTAACTTAAAGGTAATGAGTTGTATTTTACTAAGGTGAGTACTGGGTGCTTTGTGCTGAGTGTTATTGTGGAATGCCTTTGCCTTGGTTGTATGTAATCCTTGTAAAACTTTTCTCAGAATGTTTATTTTCCCACTAAATAATAAAAAAAAAAATAAAAAAATTTCTTGGAAAATGCATGTAGTGTGTTCTCTTTATGTGACTTCAAGGTATTAAATAACTAAAAGGCTTTGCAAAAGTTTGGTGGGAACTTTTGGACTCTTAAATATATTTAAAAGTAATACTTCCAGTAAAGCTTGAAGCCTCGGGACATGGGTGTTACAGATGCTTAGACTACAATAGTAAAAAACTTCATTTCATCCACTTAGGTCAGATGTTCAAGAGACCATCTTCAAACGTAGGATCCTCAAACTCTACAATGCATGATATTGCATGGATAAGACTTTTCCAGAGTAGACAGAGATGTCTGGCAATGTAAGTTATTGGTATAGGGGAAAAAAAGGAATATTGTAAACTTTGAACTTCATTGTGTGCTGTGGGAAGTAAGACTGCTATTGCTTGGGATCATTAGAAGTAATAGTGTAGTAAAGCAGTTGACCTTACTCTCACCAATGCATGTTTAATGCCTTTCTTGAATAGTTTGAATTTTTATGCCTCTGCTGTCTGATAATGATCTTCTGATATTACTTTCACTAGAAGTGTCCAGAGGGTGATCTTGTAACCGAAGAAGCCAAACCAGACACATAGTGCAAATCGATGTTTGGCTTCCTGGGTGGTGCCATCGAGACGGTTTGGGCTTTGGTGGCAACAGGTTGTACTTTAATGATTGTAGCCTGTCAGGGAAGGATGAGGTCCACCTGTGTAAAAATCGCAAGAGAATCTTTGACAGCAGACTGGCCAGTTTGGTGAGACGGGTTTTAAATTGAAGGACTGGAGGGGTGGGGTCCAAAGAGGCAATGCTTATGCCACTGCTTCCTTCTGGGGAGTAGGCCATTCCAACTAGTGCAGCGACAGATGTTCCTTGGCTGCCTCTCGAGATGAGAATCATAGGGCTAGCAACATCCGTCTCTGTCTTCGGACGTTCAGCTTCTCCTACGCGTTGCCTTCCAGAAACTCAGGTGCCTGTGGTCAGGCGTAGAAATGTGGAGCTCAGCTGGAGGTCTGCCCGAGCCGCTCGGGCGGGCAGTGCAGGCTGCAGGGTAGGGCAGAACCTGCTTTACCGCAGGTGGCCGAGGCGTACAGGCGGCTCCGCGCAGTCCGGGGCACCCCTTGGGCGGGGGCTCCGCCGGACGGGGAGGGGCTGGGCGGGGGCTGCCCCTGCGGCCGCCGCCGTTGCTCCGCGCCCCGCCTTTCCTGCCCTCCCGCCCGCCGCCGTCCTTAGTTGTCGGGGTCGCGAGAGGCGCAGCGCTGGTGTTGCCCTCCTGCTTGGCTGCACGGCGAGGTGAGGCGGCCGGGCCGGGGGGCGCCGGGGTTTGAGGGTCCCCGGGCCGCGGCTCTGCCCCGGTGGGGGATCGGTGGCTCCCTCGCGGTGTGTGCTGGGGGCGCCGCCGGCGCTGATGCTGGCGAGGGGCGGCCCGGGCGGGTTCCGTCCCGCGGGAAATTCCCTCTCGCCGCCGGTTTTGCCTGCGGAGGTACTGGGCCGGCTTGCCGAGGCTTAGCTGGCGTGCGTACCTGACACTGATAGCATTTAATTATGTTGCATTTCTTGTTTCTTCAGACAGCCTTCCCTCTTCAGTCCTTTTCTATATCGAGAAGCGTCTCGCACCAGAAACATTTCTGAATGTTGGTAGCGGAGGTAGAAATAGCAATGTCAGAAAGGGCGCAACAATGCAGGTGTGCGATAATCATCTCCCGGCTGCCCTTCCCGGGGAGCGCCGGACTCGGTGGACTTCCCGCGGTCTCTCGCAGCCAGGGCTGTGACCTGGGACTATTCACCCTTGTCCGCCGAGGTAGCCCTGCGGCAGCCTGCTCACCGCTTTCTCTTCCCCTGGGCAGAGCTGTGGAGATCTTACCCCTGCTTGTGGGGACTGACGGCTTTTCACAAGTTCGTGCCTCCAGAAGCCTTCCTGCTTTTGCTTGAAAAAAGCAAAAGCACCTTCTCAGAAACTTTGGATTGTCTGTTGGGTACACAGTGAAGGTTTGGTTTGTCTTCTGCACCCAGGAGGTTTGCCTTGCTTTGCTTTATTGGATCCCTTGTCAGTTTGAAGATGGGAGGAGTTGATCAGGTTTTTAATTAATCTTGCTCTTTAGTTGATTCTTTTTGAACAACCTTACATCTTAACAGCACTTTGCTCTTAATGAACTATTTGTAATGTTGATAGGTTTTTTTCTCCTTGGGGAGATCTACATTTTTTACAGTGAAACTGTATGTGTAGTATTGCTGTGGTGGGGAAATGGTAGCGATTGAGTGGGTTTCCTAATCTTTGTTTAAGATAAGTGGGTGTCCTATTAATTGTGATACTAAGATCCCAAGTAGTTCGTGTTGTATGGAAAAAATACTGGCAACAAAATATTTTCCTAAAAAGAATTAAACAGTATGACTAACTGTTGAGATAGTTCTGGTGTATAAGTTTGCTTGTTTAACTTTGTTTTCATACACAGTATTTTCAGGTGGTGGTACTGTTTTTTCCAAGTACACATAGGCAGCATGTCCAGAAACTTTGTGTGGATATTTTAGAAGATTTTGTCGAGTTATCTTTGGTTACCTAATCTCTGTCATTAGAATAGATACCTACCTTAAACCTCTAGCATCTGTTTTGCCACACACCTGTTTGAGAACTCCCTTTAATCAGATAAAGGGCATTGAGGGTGTTTGGTTATTAATTTCTTGTAAAGTTGTAATTTGGAAGAAGAGGTACTTCTTGAGCTGAAAAATAATTAGTGGACAAGTGGTAACAGTTACCCCCCTTTGAAAGGATAGTGCTTTTTTAGTGTTTTCACAGTTTTCTGATCTGTTACTTCTAGTTTAAAACGTATTAGAAAAGGAAGACATAAGATCTGAATTGATTATCAAATGGTTATTCCTGAGCAGGATCAGAGTGCAGTTGCTGAAAGTGTTGTGGTGAAAATGCCCTTCCTTTCCTGTTCCTGTGAAAAGTGTGAGTGATAATTTGGGTAAACAGTAATTCAGTGACTTTCTGTGGCACCCTTGTTTAATTTTTTTTTTTTTTTTTTTTTTTTTTTTTTTTGGTGGTTGGCACTTGAAAGTGAGCCAGTCATCCAAAGTATGGGAATTTGAATAGTGGCTGTTGCTGAATGTTTCAGGGTGTGGTTTTTTTCCCCCTGCAGTTTGTAAGTCCCTGTGAAAGGCTTGAGTTCAGTATACAAACTTTAAATCTCTGTTGGAAAAACAGTGTTGCTGCAGAGGATGGTAAGACGTCTGTATGCTGTGTTTTGTGACTGTGTGTGCAAGATTGAAAGCATAAAGGTTGCTGCTAGCTGTGACTGGTTCTCACCATGTAGCTGTGAATAGTGGTACTTGGGAGTAAGATCTCATTGTGAGTGAGAACCAACAACTCCATTTCTCTTTTGAGGATAATAATTACTGTATATTAACCATTTATAAAACTAAAATGAAAAGGTTTTGGCTGATTTTTGTCACCACTCCATTTCCACCCACCCGCAAACTATCATCTCTTTTTTTGGAAGACTGGACAGCCAAATGTTTGCTCTCTAATTCACTTTTTAAAGAATTTTTTATTTTTACAGTTTTATTTCACTTTTTTTTCCTTAATAAAACCCAGTTTGTAGTACCTTGTAGTCTGATTTAGCTGTGTCTCGGTGTAACTAAGTTGTTAATGGAAGAGATTTTGATTAGCTTGCTTGGTTAATCCAGTATATTTTTATTCAAGCAGTCAGACATAGGAATTTCATGACAATATGTGAAAAAAGGCAATTTCTTCCAGAGCGTCACTGGGAAATTGGAGAGGAACCTGCAAAAGATGGGAATAGCACCATTGGATGGCACCATGTGGGGGGCCCTTAATGAGAGGAGATTTCCTCATCCTGGGCTGGTCTGGTCGGGATGGGGTTGTGTGTCCTCTGTGCTGTGCGTTAGCCCCGTTAGCCCACAGGGCTTTTTCTAAGACTTTGTCCTTCTTCCGAGTTCCAAGTACTCAGATCTCCAAGAAGGTGTGTCTTTACTTTTCAGTGGCCGCTTCAGCTGCGCTTGGTCTTTAGATGCTGCCCTGGCTTACGCTGGCTTTGTACCATGAAATGACTGGGTGGTGGAGGAGGAGGTTGGTAGGCAGGTACACTGGTAAGGGATAAGGGACTCCTTTTGCTTCCCTGCTCGCTGTGTGCCTATTGGATTTTTCACCTTTTCCAGTTGTTGCTTGGCAGGTCTTAAAGAAGTACACAGAGCTGGACCCTGTAGCAGAGACTTGGCTTTTCATCTTGGAGCCCGAAATGCACCATTTTGCTCTGTCTTTACTTCTAAAGCCTTAGTCTTGAGATTTGTTCAGTGAGGTTGTTACTTATCTGTAGTGGAAGACTGCTCGATACCAGCTATCATACTTCAGCTGAGTCCAGTAAAAGAAGGAATTGCTCAGACTGATAGTGTATTAGTGTGGGAAGTAAAAGTATGCTATGTGTTGATTTACACGAATATCTTAGAGTCTAAAATATCTCCCTCTTGATGAAGCATCACTATGTTGGCAAAGCAGGATGAAATCTGCTGTTCAGAAGTCAGGAATTTTATGCATGTACTCATTTTTATATCTGTTGTGGACACTGGTGAAAGATGGATTCCTTCATGTTCGGTAAAATTGTTTTTTCACCCATAAAATCAGAAACTTATTTTAATTTCAACTGAAATAACTGTGCCAGGACAGATGTTTCCTGGAAAACAGCATGTGCAAACACATTTTCATGTAAATGTACTTACTGAGCTGATTTGCTTATCTCTTCTTCAAAATACATGGGTGCATGTATCCATGACAGAAAGTTAAACAGTTTTTATTTTAAACTGATGATAGAAGGAATATCAGTATTGCAACTGAGGTGAAGTTTTGGGTCTGCTATTCAAATGGAAGATCCTTCTGTGTGTTTCATCTCTTTCCTCTTCCTTTTGCCTTTCCTTCTGTTCAGTATAAAAAGGTATTCCTGATTAACATAAATTATTTAAAGACAAACAACATTGGATTTTCTAGAAAGAGCAAAGTCAAAAATGCTTTAGTGAAATCAGCACTTTCTTGCCTGTTTGTTTTTAATAGCTGAAAACAGCAGAAAAGGTGCTGATGCTGCCAGAATTGTGTACTCTCTCTGTGTATTGGCATTTCTTTAATGTGGTTTTGTGCCTGTGCCTTAAGCTGCATGGTGAACAAATCATTCTTCCTTTGAACAGTATAGTTGCTTTACCTCTGAAATTTTTTGAGGTAAACAACTAGTCCCATATATTTATCCAGTAGGTAAATTCCAGTGCAAGTTGTTAATGTGGACTACTTTCTCTATTTCTGTCAGCAGTAAGGAGTATACCAATTATGTTATTCAAGGAACATTTGGAATGGTGTATTATGTCTTGCAGTGCTGTGTTTAGTAATTTTTCTGTGTTCTCAAATATACCAACTAATACTCTTACAGGAAAGAACAGGATACAAATGATTTCATAACAGGTTCTGATACACCTTTTTTGAAATATAGTATTTTATTCTGGTTATGCAGAGGCAAATCAGTTCTCTTGTTCTTAGCTAATGTGATGGTGCTGATCATCCCCTTTGTCCACCTCTCTTTCTACTCTGGAGATCTATGGTTCTTGGTTTTCAGGGATCCTGTGTAAGGCAAGATGGCTTTGTACTTCTCAGGCACTCATTTTAGGAAGGCACAGCAGGAGAATAGTCCATGCAAGATGTATGTGTTTCTGCAGTTCTTGACTTTCTGCTGAAAACTTGTGCATGTCTCTGTGTGTTTGTTTTACTTTGCTGCATCTATATTTTTTTCTTTACAAAAAACCCCCCACATAGTTCTTTTGCATGCCTTTGCTTTTTAGTGTTGACCTTACCTCATCTCTGTGTGGCCCTGTGGGTGTCCACTGGAGCTGTGCTGCATGTGTCTGTTACCTCCTTGGCTGAGGTTTCTTTAGGCAAGAAACTCAAGTCTGGGGTGTTAGACCTGTGCAGCTATGCATACTTTTTTTGGATTGTTTTGTGGGGTGTTTGTGTGATTGCATGTGTGTATACAAAGACAACATTCTCAGGAAGCTGCGTTTTACTCTTAGAACTCTCTGTATTCTCCATTCCCAAATACAAATTCACAGACTTTTCAAATGAACACATAGATTTGAAACTCTTGTGAGTCTGGCAGTATTGTGCACTTCCTGCCGAGAAAAGAAGACAGATTATATCTTGAATGCAAGAGGCAATTTTGCAGGGTATGCATGTGCATGCTTAGGTATATATGAGCTGTTGAAGGACTTAAATGCTGGAGATACAGTAAAATCAGCATTTCTGGTACCTGCTAACTGCTGGCATCACTTTCTTCCCCTGTGTTTACAGTGCATGTTTACATGTAAATCCTTTGAGAGTTGCTACCATTTAATAACTTTTAATTGAAACCTGTGCATTGCATCTGTAGGGAAGAAGTTGGTTTACTTAAGAGCATCATCTTGAGAGACTGTACAATATGTTAGTAATAGATGTACCCATTTTATATTTAACTAGTGTCTTGTGATGCATCTGTATTTGCTGTCTGTCTGATCTTCTGTGCTCATTTTTGCTGGCTTTTGTCTGCAGGAATGCAGAAAGAAAAAAGTTAATCTCAGTTTACAAGGGAGCAATCTACTAGAAGCTGTGACTGAGATTCGCGGTGGAGTTTTAGGATTCATTGATCTAGGTGCCATTATGCTTATTAGGACCAGGTTTTAGCACATAAAAAAATAAGTATGGCCTGTTAGAATATAGAGAATTGCAGTTGCCCTTTGCCCCTGCTTGTCTTTTAAGATGTGCTGTTTCATAGGAATAACATAAGTCTCAATAGCAACCAGTAGTACCCCTGGTACTGCTCATTCATTAAAGCAGGTTATTTATTTTAGAAACGTTATTTATTTTCTGTTAGAAGCAAAGTAAGCAGCTGAGGATCAAAACAGAGAACACTTAATACAATTTAGCATTGAAATCAATGCTGTGTCTGCTAATATTTTTATTTATTTTTATTTTTAGATTATCCTTCAAATAGTTTGGTTCAATCTGACTTATTTATTTACAAGCTTAGAGCAAAGAAGTTAAAAGTGTTATCAGATGAAGTAACTTGGAGCAAAGAAGTTAAAAGTGTTATCAGATGAAGTAACTTGGAGCAAAGAAGTTAAAAGTGTTATCAGATGAAGTAACTTGAAACTGCCTAATTCTAGGAAGCAAAGTGCAAATTACTCCTCAAACAGCAAAACTAAGTTAATTTTCTCGCTAAATTAGGTAACAAGGAATCTGTCCTCTCTCTGTAGACCAGTGTTGTCTCATTAACTTTTTGGGTGGAATGTATGATAAAAGAAAGGCTGGTTTGTTCTGTTTATTGCAGATTTTCATTATATTGTTAGGTGTACTCAAGACATTCCCCTCAAGACCATGTGAAGCTTTATGTACAAGCTAATAGTGTGTGATGGCCTTTCTTTGTCTTTCAGATGGAAATACCTAGATAGTATACCTTCCTTGCTAGGTGTATGACCATCAGCTGAGAGCTATTGCATTATTGCTAAGAAAATTTTTTTGTGTGTATAAAATGGCTGTAGTGGAGGATGTAATATAATGTGTCATTTTTAATTTGCAGGTTTCCACACTGTTGTGGTTCTTTGGATTTGTTTTTTTTCTTGGAAATGGTAGGTCTAGGAAGCAGCTGCCGAGGGATGAAGTCTTCACCGCTCCTCATGGCTGCACTTGTGGCGTGCATCATTGTTTTGGCTTTCAATTACTGGATTGCAAGTTCTCGCAGCATGGATCTGCAGGTAACTTTGCTTTTGCTCTGCATGTTGTTTTGTACTCTCATGGTTAATAAACATAGTTCACAAGAAGGATGCTTCCCTTGCATATGGCAAGCCAGGAGCTTCAGGTTGTTTTAGGAACTTTAACAAATATTGTATTTGTTGCTTTTTAGTAGTGGGAGATGGGGGTAATGGGATGAATGCCTATTTGTAGGTGAGAGGGACGCAAAACTTGAAGACCTGTGTGTATATTACTTCTGCTCACACAAAGCATTCGGCTATCTTATGCTGTTTCAGTTTAAAGATATGGCAAATGCCATCCTCTGTTTTTTCTTCTTAACTGTACATTGAGACTGGCAGTCTGTTTTAATGGGAATGGGTTTTTGCAATTTGCTCAGCTGTCGTGGTTTCACTGCAGTTGCTAATGAAGCCCCATGCAGTTGCTCATCACTCCCCCCCCCCACCAGGATCAGGGAGAGAATCAGAAGGGTATAAGCTGGAGAACTTGTGGCCTGAGATAAAGACAGTTTAATAGGGAAAGCAAAAGCCACACATGCAAGCAGACCAAAACAAAGAATTAATCCACTGCTTCCCCACATCAGGCAGGGTTTCAGCTGTCTCCAGGAGAGAGGGCCTCATCATGTGTAACAGTTACCTGGGAAGACAAATGCCATCACTCCAAATGTTTCCCTCCACCTTCTTCTTCTTCTTCCCCGCACTCTATATACTGTGCGTGATGTCAATGGTCTGGAATATCCCTTTGGTCAGTTTGGGTCACCTGTCCCAGCTGTATGTTCTCCCAGCCTCCCACATACCCCCAGCTTCCTCGCCAGTGAGGCAGTATGAAAAGCAGAAAAGGCCTTGGCTCTGTGTAAGCCCTGCTCAGCAATAACAAAAACATCAACCCTGTGTTCAGCACAAATCCAAAACATAGCTCCATACTAGCCATTGTGAAGAAAGTTAACTCTATCTCAGCCAAAACTAGCACACTCGTCTCCCTAGATTTGTTCTCTTACGTGACCCATAAGATTGTATGTGTGATGGATAAATCGAGACTATCAAATTTGGATTGCAAGGAACAAACTAATTTATTAAAGAACGCAAATAAGCAAATGGCTAGCCAGGCGTCCAGAGGAACCTCCCCGTTCCTGCCGCGGACCGCAAGGGAAAAACAACAAGCAGCGCTTTTTATACCCCCAGAAACCCCCTCCCCCAGAGTCATGTCATTAGTCCATTGGCTTAGGGTTCGCGGGCTGAATGCTGCTTGGTCCCCCCTTCGCGGGCTTGTTTGGGGTTGGTTTTCCTTTCGCGGGCCTGCTCCGGGTTGGTTCCTCTTTTCGCAGGCTTGCTGTTGCTGAGGGTCTCGGCAGACAATCCAGTGGGTAACGGTCTCTGGGGCCGTGCCGATGGAAATTTCGACTGGGTAACGGTCGTCCAAGCCGACCCTCGTTGTTGTTCTCCTGCATTTGCTTCCATCTTGGATTTTTGTTAGTCCCTTAAAAACAGGCATTTCTAGCAGCAAACATCATCATGACAAATCATAGTTGCGTTGTGGTTAGTGATTCCGCAGCGTGATAATTCATGTGGTTAGCCATTGCGCAATACAACTTGTGATTTCAACAGGACAAACAGTATAACTAAAGTGCTTAACATAACCTCATAACCACTCTTACTTGATCTGCAAATTTATTGATCAAATTACCTATGACAGTATGTATACTTTCCCACAAAGTACAAGGAAATCTAGGTTGTTCAGTGTCTAAAAATCTGTATTTGTGTTTCCTAGTAGCCCTTCTAAAGGAGGACACAAAACTCACATGGAATAATTACCTGCTATTTTTCTAATGGTAACTATAGTTTTTGTGGCTGTTGAGCTTGTGTTTTAGTCTTTTCTAGAGCATTTATTCTGAAGTAGGCTGTGTGAATCAAGTTTCTGCTTTGTGACAATTTGTGCAGGATGGATTTTTTTTTTCCTTTATTTTTAGCAAGCAAACCTAAAAGGGAACAGCCTGGTGTCATACTTGTTCTAAAAAACCAAGTGGAATTTTTTTTCTTTCCCTTTCATCCTTATGAAAGAGGGATGTTGAACAAGGGAGAGGGAGGTTGGTTCTTTTGGCTGGGGTGATTGACAGACACAAAAGAACTAACTAGCAGGCCTGCATTCCAAGATGGTGGCCCTCCTAAGACTGTGGAGAGGGGTGATGAGTTTTTTTTGTTCTTCTCTCCTCGGAAACGGGAGGCACTTCACTTTTACCTTAACTCAGGCAAGGTGTGTGTTGGAGTGGTCCAGGGTTCGCTTTGTTTTTCGGCCTGATCATCTGGCTGTTTTCTGGCCCCGGCTTGCCTCCGTTTTTCCTGCGCCGTGCTCTGCCCCCAGCCCAGATCTGCTTGGATTTCATCGGAGAGGCTTGACCCATCTGCAGTGGAACTTTCGGGGGAGGAGGTCGCCTTTTCCTTCCTCTGCTCCCATGTTTGGCAGCAGCTTTTGCCCATTGATGAAGTGGGGGAAATTCTGGCCACAGCCAGCGTGAGTTTTGTGGGAAGAACCCCCTTTTTCCCCTTTTCCCTGTCCCCTTCTCAGTGTGTTTGGGGGAGATCTCCATTTTCAGCTTCTCCCACACACCGGGGCCGCACGTGGCGACTGCCAGAGCCAAACAGCGCCCCCTGCTGACCAACGCCGAGCAACTGCAGCCTCTGCTCCTCCAGTGATCCCACAGCGCCCCCTGCTGATCGTGGTTAGAATTGCGCCAAAAAGCAAAAAGAACTGAACTGTTTCCCTTTTTGAAGGGGATTTTTGGGTACAGGATTATTGTTTGGTTGTTTTTGTGTTCTTTTGTTGCTCTGCCAATACACATATATCCTTTAATAAAGGGCTTTTATTTTTCCTTTCTCCATACTTCCTCAATTGGAGCCTCTTAATTTTGGATTTACAATTGCTCAGAAAGAGGAGTTTGGTTTTCCTCATAACTCATCCTCCATAGCAAAACACTTCAGTCTCATTAAACTGAGACACCTGGTAATGACTGATGAGAGATCCCCCCAGATTTTACCAGTGAATTTGTGTCCTCTTTGTAACTGAGCCGAATTTTAGTACTGAGTTGACAGCTGAAGGAGTTAAACTCTTGTTTCACCTCAGAGTGGGCACTGTTCGAACAGGACACTTGTCTCTGGCCATGCGGTTAAGGGTATGTCTTGGCTCTTCCTTGTTGTGACTTCTGAGACTCTGGTCATCCCTTGCTTTCCCTTTAGTCATTGGCCTCAGATGGTGGCTACCAGCAAGTAGTGACTGTGTCAATACCACTGAAGCTTTGCTGCACAGCTGTGAGGCAGCTGAGACTGAGAAAAGTATGCCACCATCCTTGTTTAATCTTGGTCTCAATAACCTAGAGACATAAGGTCCTTTTTGATGTTACTGATGTACTGTACTATCCTCTACATTTCTCCCAAAGTTAGCCTGAAAATCGTTTCACTTCGGCATGGTCATGCACTCCGGATGGAATAAAAGCATAGCTGAGGGCACGGATGGAGCTTCTAAAGCACTCTGTCAATCCATTTGCTTGTTGGCAAGACTTTGGAGCTATTGTGACTGAAATAGAATAAGTGCTTTTCTTTGCTCTTCCAACTAAACTGCAAGTCTTTTTTTCTTATTTTTTTCTCTACCTCCTCTCCTTTCTCTTGCTTTCTGTGGCAGAGAAGCAGAGTAGGTGGGCCACAATATGGACCATTACTGTGGTGTAAGAAGATTTTCTTGAAGTCTTGGAACATGCACAGTTTCTATACTATCTAATTTTTAGTCCACCTGGAATCATCAGACCTTTTTATCTGGGTAGATTCTGTTGATGTCCTCACCATCTTGCACGTCTTTGTACTCCTCATTGTTGCAGAAGAACAATTTTAACCCAAAATGTTTAGAAACTGCCCTGCAAAACTAAATTGGTGCTTAAAAAAATAGAAGGGGAGAAAAAAAAGGAGCTGTGTTAACATCAGGCTTGATTCCTCAGCTTACATCTCTGTGTTCATATGTGAAATATGTGATGGTGTTGAATTTTCTTCTGATTGTCTCTCTTCTTTGAGCAGTCATGAAGAATGATAATTTTCTGTTTCTAAATTGAGTTTTTTTCGTATGTATATTTTGTGTAATAGCCATATGTCTGTTGTTCATATAAAAGTTGGGCAGTGTTGTCATCTCTCTGCTCTTTCATAGGTCTTCCAGGAAAACAAATTGATTTGAGAGATGAGTTTTCACTTTCAGTTGGTTTAGTATCAACACTGGGAAGTGTAGAGATGTCAGAATTGTGTGGGTTGAATTAAAATAATTGTTTGGCCTTGTATATCAGAATCTTCTTTTTAAGCTCAAGTACTGAGGCAGCTTTCCATTTTTATCTTTAACTGAAATTTTGACAGTCTCTACAAAATATGCTGTGCTGTTAATTTATGTGAAACTGGGGAGATGTGTGTCTGTGTGTGTGGAAAGTATCCATGGCTGACATAGTACTTCAATTACATGAACGTTGTTAGAGCTGTGAAATTTGCTATTCCTTGAATATATTGGAGGAGAGTCTGGCAAGGGGGAAGCATTTCTGTTGGCTTTGGCTAATCTGCTTTTCCTCAGGGTCGAGTCATGGATCTGGAAGGCAAAATCCGGAAGGCGGCAGCGGAGAGGGTTGCTGTGGAGCTCAAAAAGAATGAATTCCAAGGGGAGCTAGAGAAGCAGCGACAGCAGATTGACAAAATCCAGTCCTTGCACAGCTTTCAGATGGAAAATGCCGACAGAGTACATCAGGAAGAGAAGGTAGGGCTTTTTCTAGCCAGTTTTCTGTGAGACTGTGAATTACCAAGACAATCCCTGCAACAGAAAATGTTTCTCACGTGTTCCAACTGATGGGCATACAATCAGTGTTGGTATGCCAAAACATTTATTTGTCATTTTATGATATTTAGAAAATGGACATTGAATGCGTGTTATAGCATTTGCTGTGTAATATATGAAATACTAGAAGCTGCAAGTAATGGCACTTCTGACTAAAACCCCTACCCCCTTTGTAAATCATGGTTACCAATCTTGGCTTGGCTTCTGGCTTTCTTTCCTGTGTACTAATGTTTTAATAATTAAAGAAAAGAGGAAAATGCACCAAGATATACATTTGTATTCCCAAATATGTTTGCAAGCATAAATGGTTGACGTTTATTTCTAAACATGTTACAAATTTTGTGGCATCTTGGCCTTTTGCCTCCAAAACTTGGTAGTGCTGGGAAGACATGAGAAGGTTAGACTTTCATGGCAGAGCTCCTGACTGTACAGTGTTGCCAGAGAGTTGGAATTCCTTTGCAAAGAATGTGAACTTAGCTAGTTAAATAGCAATGTGTACAATTGCTGCTGTGTAGTATCTTGCGAACTGTTTTGTTGTGTATTTTCCTCCTGTTACTGATACCATTTTGAATGTGGTTGTTAGTCATTGCTATCACTTTTCTCCCTGTTTGTAGAAATATTTAGTTGAAAGTGTTCAGTTGCTTCTCCTGTAGAGTCTCTTGACTGAAGTTTGTAGATCAGCTTTTCAGGACTATTACTTCCAGCAGGCTGAACAGACTCAACACATGATAGTAGTAGGTGTTCTTTAGGTAGTGGGTTCACCATGAGGGGATGGTTTGCTGTTCAAAACTTGTGGTGACTGAGCAAAATATCACCAGAATAATCTTTGAAGGATTTAGAGGAACAGAAGTTGAGTAAAAATGGAAGGTGGAGTATGCACATCAGTGGTATATGTCTCTATTTTGAAATAATTTTTACCCAAAGTCTTAAAAGAAATACTAAATCAATTCTTTTTACTTCTTTTGAGACAAATATGTTTCTTTGATAATGTCTCTCTTCTCTTTGGGTTCAGTCTTTGCATATACTTAAAAAAAGATGAGGTATAGTTTGTCTATTTATTTTTTAATGTATGTATATATTAAAAAGATATCCCAGGATAATCAGACAGCATATGAGTGGGTAATCAATCTTCTTGTCACTTCTGCCTCTTAGTATTGGGTGTCGCTACTGAGTGTTGTGGAATTTTTTTGCGTTCTACTTTTGTCTTGCAAGGAGTGAAAACACATGCAGGATTGGGGAAAAAAAACCCAAAACCAAAAGATTCAAAGGTAAGAAAAGGGCAAATGTAATAGAGTATTATGCTTCCTTTTCATAAGCAGGCATAGCCAAAATTATTAAAAGACACTGGAAGTGTAAGTGCTGGCCACAGAGTTTACAGCACAGGCTAGCCATATGGGTGGATGTTGAGAGATTGTGACAGAAGCTCATCTCGCATCTATGCCAGGAAAAGTGGTGAAAAGTGTTTTACAAAACCAGAACTGCTGTTGGACGTGGGGGAGAATGTGGTAGCCTGGGGAAGAGTCAAAGCAGCTTCTGGCAAAGAAAGTCTTTCTTCCGAAGTCTCTTGGAGTTTTTTCTGAGTGAATCAGTGACAAGGATGAGGGAGACAAATGAAAGCATTCACACCTGAATTGCAAAAGTCAATATGTGCATAACTTGTAGAGATACTAAGCAGCCATGCAGTAACACAGCGCTATCTCAGGGGTGAATGATAAGGCAAAAGTTACAAAGCAGCTTAGAAATACACTGGGTTACTTTTTGTACTGTGGGAAGGTTACCAGTGGAGTTTTGGAGTGCTGGGAAAGGCACACAGAGGAGAACAAGGAGGATAACCAAAGCTGTGCAGTAGTTTTTCTACAGGAATCCACAGTGTAGGTTACAGGCTGGACAGGAATCAGTGGAGGAGTCATCACAGTCATCTCCAGGATTCCAAATGGAGCAGAAAATGTTTGTGGCTAGGAGAGACGTGGCAGGGTTGTTCTCCATCCACTGATGGGCTTCAAATGCCATCATCAAGTTGTAGCTCAGACTGGGCAGAAGGTAGTGCTCTTCATGCAGTAGATGTTGAAGCTGCAGTTGTGTGACATCCATAATATGCAGTTGCAATGGTCTGTGTAGGTTAAAAAGCAATGGATAACCTGGGACAAGCACCTGCCCCACCACCCAGTACCAAGGTGTTTATTCTATTTTGAAGCATTCCTTAGGCAGAAGTAGCTGCATTTCAGTGTTAGAGATGGGATGCTGGGAAAGGTGGATTTTTGGGGCCAATCTAGTAGCCTATCCTTCTTAAGTGCTTTTCCCTCCATCACTGTAAAATACAGTTGTTCAGTAACGGAACAGTCTTTGAAGTTTTCTTTGAAACCCAAGGAGCTGATGCTTTAGGAAGCATAACATGAAAGTGGTGCACTGGACTAATTTCCTGTTTTCTGTATTGTGCCTGGAGAAGTGCATGTCTGAGGAGCCTGAAGAGGTAGGACGAGCGTGTATGTGCCTGTGCACCACTGTGTGTCAAATTCAAAATTTGCTTTTGTTGCAGCACATGAGCAAATATCCTGCACAAGTGCTGTTTGTTTTCCAACTCTTAATTTAAGGGTAGAGAGGGTTGTGTTACTGGGAACCTGTGTATGTGTCGAAGTTGCCATCAGACAAATTCTCATGGATTTATCCATTGTAATTTGAATTCCTCTGATATGGTGGCAGAGAAGAGAGGGAAAGTTTAGTTCTCCTCACTAATGACCTTTATCTGAAGAAGCTGTCTAGGATCAGAGGTTATTCCTCAGAGGGATGTGGAATATAAGGAAAGGCAGTTTCTGAGTGCTTTTTTGTTTGTGTGTTTCTGTATCTATGTATAAGTGTGTCTGAAATCCCTGGTTTTCGGCTCCATGGATTCCAGTGGAATCTGGGATTCCTGGGAAGCGAGTAATGAATTCAGTCTTTCTGGTTATGGGAAGCTTGCTCCTTGAACTGAGCTTTATTTACTCCATAAAGATTAGCAGCAAGTATTTACCTATTCAGGAAGAATGAATGCAAATCCAAATCCTGAGTCTCTCAACTTGTTTTACAAGTGATACAAACTGTATAACTAACTGGAGAAGACTTGGAGTCATAAATGAGATTTGCTTAGTTCTTGTTGTTGTTCATAAAGAAAAATGAAAATGCTTTCAGCAGATGTGTAGGAATGAATGGTCTCTCAAACCCTCCAAGCTTTCAGGGAGAAATGGTATTTTTTCTGGTTGTAGAAGAAATTTGTATGCAAGGAGACTTTCACAATCTGGTCTTCTTAGCAAAAGCAACTTTCAAGTAATATTTGAGACCCATCTTAATTGCAGTTCATCTCTGCTCACTGTGTCTTATTACTCTACTGATAAAATACAGAATAATTATGCCACTGATTTAGTTTCATACCAAACTCATACACCAATAAGGTACTTGCCCTGTTAAAGTCATTGTCGATGGCAGTGCTGTAATCACTTTGAGTTAAATCTGCCTTCTTTTGAAGTAGAACTGTCTCTGGCTACTTAAAGGATGAGGGCATAAAAAGTAGGAGGTAATCTGAGCCGGAAATACCCTATGGGCTCACCTTTCACTGAAGCAATGTAATTCTGGAAAACTGCGGTTGTATTTATTCTCTTAGGTCTGAGTATGTATAAAACACTACTCTCATCAGTTTGTTTTTAAAAACCCTACTTGAAATTTTAAGGAATAGTGTAGATTTAGGAAATGGCTTTTGGAAATCTATACAGAAATAGAATGAAGAGATCAAGAAATCTTACCTGAACAGTTGATAACAACAGATAAGGAATCAGGAGTGCAAAAGGGTTGTTTCTAGTCTGTAAGCAATTTTCTAAAGAAGAATATTCTCTGTGGTTGTTATTTGGGACTTGTAGCTACTGGGATGTACACAGCCACAGCTGTTTCTTTGAAGAGCATATCAGGACAACAATATGTGTAATTTCTCTTACTTTTAACTGAAAGAACATGCTTTTGCAGTTGATAATTTGCTTTGAATTTACAAAATTCTTCCCCAGCCCATATCTTGTTTTACTGAGGAGACGGGCCAAGGTATGTATGTTCTCTGTGAAGCATGTCACTGTCCTGTTGCTCAGTGTTTTTTAACACAGGGCACAGCTTCTCTCTGGTCCCCTCCCTCTGGGAAAATTTCAATTCCCGGCACAGTCTTCTGAGACAAAATACCTATTGGTATGCAAGTAGTCGACTCCACTGAGAAGGAATTACAGTAATCAGCAGGGAATGAGAAGAAAGCCTTCTGTGAAAAGGAGAAGGTGCCTATGTATATTTTGGTTTTTGTTGTTTTTTTTCAAACCAAACAATCTTTCATATTCCAGTTTTGGAAAGGAAACATTTGAGGAACATTCCATACTTGCCATAACATTATCTTACTAAATTAGCAAAAGAAATCAGTCTGATTACTCATAACTGGTACAGCAGAAGTCTAGAAGACCACCTCTATTCAAAATGTATCTTCCACATGCTGGGGAGAAGCAAAATCATCATCTGAGACTTGCTGCACTGTAGGCACCCTTAGAGTGGGAATTTAGAGTATGTGTAGTTTAAGAGTTAACTACTGGAATGTTTCTACCTCTTCATAGCAAAATGAATGGACAAAAAGAAACGCAGAAGGTACCTTAAGTGTATCTGTACAAGTTTTATATTAAGATTCTCATATCATAGGTTTTTGTTTTCCTTACACTGCCTACTGTTTGGGTTTTAGTTAAATATAAAAATATCTTGAAAGTCCTGTAGCTGTACAGGGCTTATTTTCTCCAATCCGTTTGCTAGTGCACTGCACCCGTAAAAGTAATTTCTTTTTAACATGTGTTAACTTCCCCTCTCTTCTGCTGAGAGTGTAAGAAATTGTTAATCTTGTAATTTTGGTGGTTTCTGCAGTTTTGAAGGCTGAACTGCACCGTGTCATGGTGCACATGTCTTTAGTGACAAAAAAGGAGAGTCTAGATTGCTTGTAGCATAGGATGTGAAACAAGTTTGAGTCTCTGACCTTTACCAGGATCACTCTTTAGGAACAGAGCTGTTTTTTTGGTTTTGGGTTTTATTGGCTGGGTAGGTTGTTTGTTTCTTTGGTTGGTTGGTTTTTTTGCTTGTTTGGAATTTTTTAATGTTTATTGAGGATGAGAAAAAGTCTACATTTTTCGAATGGAATTCAATTCAGTGAAATATAGATTTACATGAACAGTGTCTCCTCCATTTTGGGCTTGAAATTTGTTTTAAGTCTTGCTTCAATTGATGTACCTCTACTAAAGTATACATGAGTGTGCAGCACACAGGCCAACCTAAAGGAGAAATATTTCTTAGGAATCTTATTTATGAACATTTTTCCCCACATACTAATATGTAGTTAGCCATTAATATCTTGGCCTAGAATGGAAAAGCCTTGTTGTGGCTCATTGTCATGGTTTAACCCCAGCTGGCAACTAAATACCATGCAGTCAATTACTCACTCCCCACACCTCTCGCTAGATTTTTGAAGAAAACACATGGCTTGAGATAAGAACAGTTTAGTAACTGAATCAAAATGAAATAACGACAGTAATGGAAAGGAGAGAGAGAGGAATAAAACCCAAGAGAAACAAGAGATGCACAGTACAATTGCTCAGCACCAGCTGACAAATGCCCATCCCATCCCCTAGCAGTGATCAGTGCCTCCCGACCAACCCCCTCAGTTCATATACTGGATATGACATTCTATGGTGTGGAGTATCCCTTTGGCCAGCTGTCCTGGCTGTGCTCCCTCCTGGCTTCTTATGCACCTGCTCACTGGCAGAGCATGGGAAACTGGAAAGTCATTGACTCAGGGTAAGCACTACTTGGCAACAACTAAAATATCGGTGTGTTACCAACATTATTTTCATGCTAATACCAGCATGGTGTTGGGGAGCACTGGGAACATGCGAGATGGGTCTACTCTTTTTTTTTTTTGCAGTAAGGACTTAAATCACTTCAAGTTAATCATGCCCTGCTTCTCCCTGTTTAATTATAGATGTCTGTTTCTGCATGTATAAATCTTAGCCTCCGATTTTGCTTTATTCCCAGTTGATTTCGTTCTTAGCAGGTGAGTTACTGATCCTGTGGCTCATCTTTGTCTCCTTTGTGCTATATTTGTAAATGCACAGGCCTTTTTTTCTTAGGTGTTAGTTTTAAAATGTTTACACTCATCAGGTGCTTTGCTGTTTTAATTCTTTTTCCTGTTGCAGTATCTCATGCTTCTATATGCAGCACCTACAATCAGTGTTAGAAAGCACATGTCAGTTTGGTGTACTTGGATTAGCTTGATTTATGATTGTAGCAAATGCTGAAGGAGTAATTGTAGTAATTCCTCCAAGGAATATATCTATGGAGAATACTGTGTAAGGTGTTAGTTGGATCAAATGCATGTATATAGTCCAGAGCACGTGCTCAAAACATAGGTTTTGAAATAATCTCCCTCACGTGTATTTCTGCATTATGTTTTGGGGTTTTTTTAAATAATGACTTTATCTTTGTGTTTCTTAAGTGGAATATGACTAATGTAGACATGTTCTATGGTGAATAATAATGACAAAATCTCTGTCAGTTGTCATTAAAAAATTTGCCGTACAGCTGGAACAAGATTTTTCCCTCACTGCTGGTGGAAGTGTGACTTCTGATTTTTTGGTTTCTGAAGACCTGCTGTCCACAACATTGTCTTTAATCAGGAGACTGATTTTTATCTCTGTGGCAGTCACAGGGACTTTTATGCAAGACACATTTGCAAATATAAGAAGCTGGTTCTATGTTTCAGAGTCACTCTGTCTCAGAACATGAGATTTTGATGTGGTGATACAGTTATTTTCCAAAAGCTGGATTTTCACTTCTGGGGATGATAGCTATTGTTTTGTGGCCTAGATGAAGTTTAAAATGTGAGTTGCTTTCTATAACTGAGTATTGGCATATGTCTGGTCAGTGCTTGCCAGCAGTTTTCTTTCTTGACCTGCATGAAAACCCAAAAGAAAACAATGTTTGCTTAATTCACAGCCTTGATGTGAAGATTACTTAACGCTGGAGTGACAGTCAGATTGGAAGCTGGCAGTTGCAATATGGTCCTGTAAATTATTAAACAGTATTTCCTGCTCAAGTTAAACAGCTAACCAGATTTTTATTACTTTTTTTCTTGGACTCTTGCCGACACATTCAGGGAGGTAGGTGTGGCATTGCCAAAAGAAAGTTTTATATGCAATCCAGAAAGACCAAGGCACACTTTTTTCCCATGTTGTGATTCAAAGAGCAAATACATGGCAAATAATTCTACTCACTTCAGCTAATCACAGTTATTATTGTCCAGATGTGCTAAATATTTGCCACTTGTCTGTTTTGCTGTCACATAAGTGCTCCTGGTATTTGGGAGTTTCATTTTAAGAAAAAAACTCCACAACCAACAAAGCTCCACTCCAATAAAACCCCAACCAACCAACCAAAAAAAAAAACCGCAAAACCAACAAACCAAAAAAAACCAAAGCACAACAAACTGTAGGAACATAAAATTGCTACATCATACTGATTTTTTTGGTCTGTTGACAGATTCTGATAACGGCCAATGCTGTAGACCCTGAAGATGATAATCATGGAACAATCTGGCTACATGGTTCATACATTAACAAAACTTGGAATTCCATTGAAATATTAGCTTCCTTTCTCCAACAAACCAGTAAAAGCAAATTCATTTTTTGTTTACCTATAGGAAAGGAGAGGGAGATATATTAAACATATATGCTGTTATTAGTGTTACTTGGTTTTCATTTTCCTTTTTAACAAATGAGCAAGACCTTTGCTCTTGAGGTTTCACAGTGGTTTTCACATACCAGCTGTACATACAGAATGGTGTAGAAATACTTCGGCAACAGGTAAATGACTGCCTCTTTGAAGTGGGACTCTTTAAAGGGTCAACCAAAGACAAATCTTCTCTTCTGCTGGATGCTAGCCTGCCCACTCAGATTGATTGAATGCTGCACTTCAGCTAATCAACTCTGATTACTGTAGTCTGTGTGGAAAAAAAGCACTGATGATGTTGTCAGTGTTTCAGGGTGACTTGGGCAGACAGAATGGATGCTGCTGTTTCTTTGCAATTGGGTGGTGTGGACATATGTACACATCAGTACTAGAGCAGAAACTTTGGGAAACAGGGGACTTGGTATATCCTGATCTGGGACCCTTGAACACTGAGGTTTCCCAGGGCAAGAATAATGAGGAAATAGGCACTGAATCCTAAGAAATATTCTCCTAAGACTGGACTGGATTGTTTCTGAAGAATAGGTGGACTTCTTTCTTTTTGTAGTCTTAAGAACTCTTCTACACCACACTTGCTAAATGTTAAATATGAATTTGAGTTATCTTGATATCTTGCTCACAGCAATTAATTTCATTTAGTCTTGACTTGGTTCTGTCAGTTTTCAGGTGTTTTGGGGCATGTGTGTATATGAAATGGTAGACGAAGGTTGATGAAAGAATGGACAAAACATGTTCCTATGTTGACTATGTCTCAGTTTGAAGAGACTGGAATGTTTGCTAAAGAGGATGAGGTATGAGATAGACCAAACTTCTCTCTCTCAGCAATTGTAAGTTTAAAATTAAGGGGCTTTAATCGAGGAAGTGTGGAAAAACAGAAGATATAACAACCCTTTATTAAATGATATGTGTATATTGGCAAGAACAATAAAAGAACATAAAAAACCAACTGAACAATAGTCCTGTACCCAGAAGTTCCCTTCAAACAAAAGAAAAAGTCTGAATACTTCTCTGTCCTTTAGCGCAGTTCTAATCGCGGTTGGCAGGGGGCGCTGTTGGATCACTGGAGGTGCAGGGCCTGCAGTACTCTGTGTTGACCTGCAGGGGGCGCGGTTGGACTCTGGCGGTCACCACGTGAGGAGGGGTCTGGGGGGTGGTCTGGGATCGCGGGAGAAGCTGAAAGTAAAACGCAGACCCTTCCCCCGATGGGAGAAGGGCAGAAGGAAAAGCAGTTCACCCCTACGGGACTCACTGTTGTTCCCAGATGACAGTGTTCCAAAGCTCTTCCCTTCTCTCCCAGCAAGCACAGACCTCTCCGATGAAAACCCAGTAGGTCCTGGCTGGAGTCACGAGGCAGTGTGCGAGCCGACCGAGTCCGGTGGTCCGGCCTCACCAGGACGAAAAGCCAGAAAGACAGACTTCCAGGCCTTCTCTCCAAATGCCCGCACACAGATCCCCGTCTCCGTCCCAGGGAGCGAACTCCACCATCTGAATCTCTCCCCTCTGAGAAGAGCCAGCTACCCCCTCCCAAAACTCCTCCCCTCTTCCGCCAACCTCTGATGGCCATCTGTTAGGAATGCGGTTTGGCCAGCTAGATTCCTTTGTAAAGCTAACCGCTCCCCCACTCCAGCCTTCGATGGGCCATTCGCTAGGAATTTGGTGTTGCCAGCCAGATCTTTTGTAAAGCTAATTGACTCCCTTCCCCCACTCACTCCGTTTTTCTTAGAGTGGAGCAGGGGGAAGAAAAATTCCATTCTTAGATTTATAACCTATAACAGACTACCTCTTAGAATGAGAGAGAGAGAGCAAAATGAGGGAATGGAAGAAGACCACTCCAGCACAAAAGCAGTGGAGAGGATAGTTAGAAAAGGGATACAATGCAAGGGCTTCACATGGCTTTTGTGGAGTTCCTTTATGCTCAATCATTAATGCTTTCATAGCTCATCTTTGCGTGCCTGGATGCAGGTGTATTGATTCCTGAGTGAGAGGGTAATTGATAGTGAGCTGTACTATGCTGTATTCTTCTTCAAGAGATAAATACAGTAAATTTGACTGTGACTGCAGTCAATTAAAGTACAAGGAGATTAAAATACAATAAAGCAGCAAGCAATTTTAGTATCTTTAACTTGTAAATTCTTCCTCTTTGCATCTGTGCAGTGGTATGTTCCCCATGCCCCCTTTAGTGGGGAATCTGGGTTAAAATGAATGTTTGCTGTTTGCAATAGTAGATGTGTTAAACAGCTAAAAGTTTTTACTTGGCTGTAACACAGCACTTCACAAAAAACCGATCGTTACAAGTGCTTTGGTAGGTGTTGTTTATAATATTAATGATAATACAAGTCCTTTGCAGTTAAAAGACTGGTTTTTGTTTTGCTTCTTTCAGGCAATACTGCTGAAAAACATCACAGTAAATGATCGATTGATTCAGAATCTAGGAGGTATGTTGAAATATGCCTGTGTATCTCTCATACTGTTTTTTAGGCCCTCTGCTTTTAAGACTTGCATCTTTCTGGGGTCATCTGAGAATGCTGCCTTTCTTCAAGTCATGGGGGTGGTGCAGGGGCTGCGATGATTTAGATACTTCTGCATAGTTCCAGTTAAGTGAGAACCATAGTTCCAGTGTGAGAATAATCTACCTCAACGGTAGAAGGATTTGTCCATGTAGTATTTCTGACTCTTACTATATAAAATAATACAGAATAAAACTAGATTAATATATTTATTCTGTATTCTCCTTTTTGCAGCATATTCTTACATTTCTCCCTAGATGTTGGGTCATGCATTTTAGCTCTGGAGGAATTCACAAACGCCTATATTAAATAAGAAAACTCAGTCTAATTCATTTCTATTCATGTTGGTGCTTCAGAGTTGTTACTAGCAATGTATTCCTCAGGAGGTCTGGGAAATGAATTCTAAGTCCTATAAACAAGTAAATATGTTGTGTGCCACCTGCTGGTGCCCTCATGCAGAGCTTTCTATCAGGAAGAAAACTCTAAATTATAGGTGCCTCTGTTGTTTCTGTTTCTTATACAGGAACGTAGCTGTAAATTGCATATTATTCAGGGAAGCATTGTCATCTAAAGCTTGTCTTTAGATGCCGATAAACATGAATACTCTTTCTTGCTGTGTTCTGATTATGATTTCATAGACCTAAAGATTTCCTGGGCTGAAACCTAGCAGGGTTTGCAAATGAGAACATTCCTGATGAAGAAAAGTAGGTAAAAAAATATGCTACACTGTTTTTGCTAATATATTTTGCTGAAAGGCTATTTTTGCCCAATTCTGTGAATCCTTGTTGAATAAATTCAACAATCATCTATGCATTTTTATGCAAAATGTAGTTAGCATGACAGATGAATTAATTTAGTGGGCTCACTATTGATTTGTTGAGATTTCTGTTGTTGTATGTGTAGGTATATGTTTGTTTGGGTGTATTTTACTATGTATTTTAATCCTGTTTTGATCAGAACACTTGAAAGAGTTACAGACAGAATATGGAAAGCTGCAGTTGGATATTTACTGGTTTCAGAAGAACCAGACTAACCTTCAGAGGAAGTTCTCATATGACCTGTAAGTATGTACTTTATAAAAGATGGCTTCCCAAGTTGTAGGTGACTTGGTTATAACCTAGAGTATTCTTGTGTTAGCTATAGTACTGTTGGTAAATGTACATTTTTAAGGAGAAAGTAACATCTGACACATCTTCTGAAATTGCTCACAGTTGTGAGAAGAGTGTAAACCTTGCAATGCTTGGCATCTCAGTATCCACAGGCTTCTCCCACGCTTCTTGATGTTCCTTCTATTGCAGGAGATCTAAGGTAGGAGTATAATCACCTAAGAGCTGGGGGGAAAACTAAAATATGAAGAGGCTAAACTCTGAAGAAGTTTGAATTCAGATAGGGGAGTACCTGATGAGAAGCTGTACCTCATTGAGCTGCCAGAGATCTTGGGAGATTTCTGGCACCATACTGATCAGACCATGTATTCTGCATTATGGTTCATACCTAGTCACGTGTTTTTCTTGAGATATCCCACTGAATTATAAAGCATGGATAACTGAACAAAAGTACTTACCAGTATTCTTACCCTAAATACACATTTCCAGTATTTCTGTGAATTTCTCCTGGGTTCTTTTTGTTCAATAATATTCTTGTTCCCTCTGGCTGCCTTCACATTCTATTGTATCTTTCCTCTGGTGTATAGACAAAAAAAGCAATAGAATTTGCTGTTTGCATGTTCTCATAACGATTTTCCATCAAGAATATAACTGTTGTAGTGATAGGTATTTTTCCACTGTTTAGCCAGATTTTGTAGGAATTATGACTAAAAGCTGAACATGGCAATCAAAGAACTTGAATTCTGCAGGCTAAACTCAAAGTACCTATTTTCTTCTTTTTTTTTCCCCACCTTAGAATGAAGGATTAATATTACTTCTTTTGTGATACTTACTGATTACCAGTTGGTTGTGACTTTTTTTTTTTTGGTTATTACTCATTTAATAATGATGACCCAGATGGATTGTATTAGCAGAATTGTAATTTAAGACTTCTAACAGAAAAGTAGAAGGAAGTTGGAAACTTCAGTTTGTACCAACCTTTCATTAAGCCACATTACCTATGTGTCTGTTAAGGTGCTTTTTCCTCTCTACACTTGTTGTGTACCACGCTTGTTAAGCACCCTCTGTTTGCTGTTTAGTTAAATGACAGACCTGAGGCTCATGGACCTCAGTTGATAGTTCTGTGCTAGTCAGTGAATCTGTTTGCTTTTAAGTCTGAGATCAGCAAGAATGAATGGATCCTTAGGTGCCTATATGTGCTGTACAGTCATGCTCCACATGACAGGTACATACATGAAGCAATGGATTGATAACATGTGCAGGGAAGTGATACAAAGCAAATGTAGTGAGTCTGCCTTATGAAAACTCATTTATTACCCATATCTGGTGAAATGTGTTCAGCTCTGTTGAGGAAATCACTGACAGAGCATTCCTGCTTGTGGTAGTGTACTAAAGGGAATCCCTCTTCATTTAACAGAAGGTCAGGGCTGGCTCAAGGTGGAGAGCTAAGCATGATACAGTGGTAAAGATGAGTTTGCTTTTGTCAGGGTAGATGTAGAGACAGGCATGATAAATCAGCCATGTGGGAGCTGCACAGGGACTCAGCTAGCTGCCTCCAGTTGGTCCTGAGGCAGGTGCACCATTTCCTGCAGTGTCTCCATGGGAGTCCATAAAGGCAGTTATCTCATTCAAGGAGCTATGCTTTCTTCACTAGCTTTGCTGAATAATACCTAAATGTTTGTTTTCTATTTCTAGATGTTTATTGTAACTATACAAGTGAGGAAAATAAGCTTCACACTCAAATTTTCGTGAAGTAATTTATAGCTTCGGTACTGTGCAGCATTCACACAGTTCTGTTAGGAACATATATAAATGTATTTTTAAGATGTTGCTTGTTGTGTGCCTTTAGGGAGGATGTTGGAACATTAATATTTCATTGTTGTGTTTACTAAAATAAATAACTTTACATTGTGTTCTGGTAGTTGTAGAAATGGATATTCGATTGTACTTTGTTACATATGTTCTTCTTTGCTAAATGCTCACTTAATGCTGTCACTTTAAATGCTTAGAAACAAGCTTTTCCCAATGCAATTATGGGCCTAGAAAAATAAAAATTATTAGATTCCAAATGTTAGTTTTAATCTGTCTGCCTTCCTCCCCTCAGCATTAGAAATAAACCAATACGTTGCCTCTGTTCATCTGCCTTGCCAGGAGTGGGCATTAGACCTGATTATGTGCTTCTTTCTTTTACCTGGATTTGTATGGATGAAAGTTTTGCACCTTATGTATCAAGTACAGTTTACCCACTGCAAAAGTGAAGAGAGAGTATTATTTGTATAATTGAAAGTGTTATAAAAAGATGACAGAAGTCAAATGCCTTTTTTTAACTGTACACATTGTGAATCACTCTTTTTAAACATTCAGATACTACTCAGTAAAAACAGTTGTACCTGTGGAATGCATAGGAACAAAGTCTATGAACTTAGGAAAAAAAAATCATTGTTTTTTCCTGTACCCAAGTCTTGAAGTTTCATCTTAGCATTTTTTTTGAGCAAGCTTAGTGTTTTCCATAAAGAATTCAGCAGGAGCTATATGAGCTTACTGGTGTTACGTGCAAAAGGAGTGCACTTTCCTCAGCAGTCGACTTCATGGGATAGCCTTGGTGCATGCTGTGCCAAGTGCTGTCTGCTCACGGTAGAGCTTCTTCAGCAAAGGCCGACTGGCACATTGACCCTTCTCTCCTGCGGCAGCCAGAAAGAAACACTGGACTGATCTTTTAAATACATTTCAATATTCAGATGCATTTTGATTCCCAAGAGCTTTGTTTTTTATGTAATTACTTCTTTGGAAATTTTGCTACGTGTAAAAAGTCTGATTAATTAATTTGGTATTTGTGGACCTGACAAGTGCAAGAGTATGAGTGCACGAGCAATCTTTCTTGGCAGGGATGAAAGGAGCTAATGATATATGCTCCTGGAGAACAAAGGTACTCTGTTTCTCATGCTGGGGTTTGGCAAATCCAGCAGACCAGGAGGGGAGAGACTGCACATCTGTCCCCGTGCATGCACACCAGGTACGCAGGTTAACACACACATGAAGTATGAGCACAGCTACAACACCAGTAGCTGCATCCCTCTCCCCTGAGAGTGGCTGTCCACTAGTACAAAATGTGCTGTGGGGGTGATCTGGTCAGGCTGTCAGATCTGAGTCTGTAGTTTAGGCTTTCTCCACTTTTGTGCCTCTGTGCTCCTTTGAGCTCATGGAGGTGGGCCTTGAACGGGCTGATGTCTCCTGTGATGGTCCTGGGAGCAGCTGGGGAGGGTATTACTTGGGCTCCTTTCTGTGTGTGCAGGTGACCTCTTTCACCCAGAAATTTACTCTATGTAATCTTGTGAGGGAGAAAACATGCCACAGAGACTGAATATAATAGCGTTGGTTTTGCACATTTGAAATATGTCATGTTGATCGGATGAGGCAGAGAAACTAGTGCTGTCCCTGTACTACAGTTGTTGTTGTATGCACAAGTAGAGTATTCACATCTCCAGAAATCCCTTTTAAAAGAAGGGATTTCCGTTGCAGATAACAAATTTTAAACAGTGAGTATTTGTCACAGATGTTAAATGAACTTCATTTTCATGTGCAATGTGGGATGAAAGAGCATTTGTGGAAGGCTGCACTATCGCCAACTTTAGGTTGTCTGTATAGTGCATCTTTCTTAAGCTTGCAAAGAGGTACAGACAATTCTGATGTCCTTTAATTTCCTAGAAATTAATGAATGTGTGTATAACTCAAGCCTATGTTGTTTCATTTTCTCTGATGTTCACCAGCTTGGGAAGCACTGCTTATTTTGGTGATTCTTCCTCATATTAGCATTAGCAAAATCAAACTTTTGAACAATGTCTAGTCAAGAAGAAATGGTAATAAGGGTAATTAATTCGTCAGTTCATAGTGTAGCCATCTGCTACTGTTCTTTCTTTCTGGGTGTGAACTACAGAAGGGAAATTTTGTTTTTGAAAAACAGGGGTGAAGAAGGGTGAGAGTGCCATAAAAATGAGTGCATGTACCTGAGAATTCCTTTGGATTAGTTAGTAGCTTATTTGCAGCTTGAGAAACTGGAACGTGCCCGTCTGAACCAGCTGCTGCTACACTGGAGGTATTAACACTTGCAGTAACACTGGTCAGAGCCAGAATCAGAAGAAATTTACCCTCCTTCTGTCTAAGTGAAAGGGAGGAGAAACTTGCAGTGTGTTGACCATGGTGTTGTACAAAGGATGTTGAGAGAGATTTTGGATGCAGAAAGATGTGTTTGCAGGGTCTTTAGCTGACATAGTTATCTCTGAGTGTTAAAAACAAAGGAGAGAGAGAAAGGAAAAAAGGTTTAAACCCTGCAACAAACTCTTTTGCTGCTACGACCAGCGGGGAAAAGAAACAGTGTGGTCCCCAGCCAAAACTCTTGATTGGATAGGCTTTCCAGGGCAGTAGGTACTGACAATGATGGTGCTTTTTCGCCACATTTGCCTCTAGTGTGATGCACTTCTCAGTGGGATCCACTTGATCACACTACTGCTCGTTCCTGTTTGCAGTGGGATCAAAGCATACTTGGGGTCATATGATGGCTAGTTTATATGCCTTCTGTTTGTGTGTTACAGAGTAATACTTATCTGCTTTGTTACTCACTAGGTCTTGGTCTTGTTCTTCCTTTGATATATACAGAAATTTACAAGTTATGAAAAAAGCAGGGGAGAAAGGGTGATCTTGCTCCAATTGCAGCACTTCCCCTGAGACACTGATATAGACAACACTCCTGGGCTTTGTACAATATCTCCAGCACAACCACAGAAAGGGAAAAGACCGCCCTGGCAGCTTTAGGAAAAACTCTGCAGCAACAGCCCAAGACTTACCTTGGAGTTATGGAGCTGTAAGGGAAGGGCAGGATGCAGAAATGCGAACAGAAGACCCCTGCTGTCACAAAGGTTAAGATGTTAATGGCACTGTGTAAATATTAAAAGTATGTAAAAGATACACTGTGCTTGCATCTTTAGGAAATATCCTTTTGGAACTTGTATTAGCTACTGATGAACTCCATTTCTGTAACGTATGTCTTGCAGTGCTGCACTTTGCTGAAATATTGAGAAAGGGTGTTCAGTTTGCTAACAGTAGATCAACAACCTGTTTTTTATTTCAGTTAGTACTTTGCTGTTTCCTCTTCTTGGCTAAAATCAAAGTATGAATTTCTGTTATCATACTAGAAATGCTTCAAGGATCAAAATTACTTTAACTTAACTGAAATTGAGTGGTTTGTGGAAGACACACACACACAAAAAAATCATGTAGCTTGTTGAGCTGGTCAGACAAAAGCAGTTTAAATTAATTTCTCCTGATAGAACTTGGACCACCTGCACTATGAGTTTGTCCTTAGGACTTAGGTTAACACTTTTCCCTACTGACTTCTCAAATGTAAGCCTAGATAATAGAACTAAGGAAATAATAACATGTTTAAAAAAATATAATTTTACAAAAGAACATTTCAGAAGAGTGTGGATGAAAGTTAACTGTCTTATTCATGTTTTCTGCAGGTCACAGTGCATCAACCAGATGAAAGAATTAAAAGAACAATGTGAAGAAAGGGTAGATGAACTTACAAAAAAGGGTAGTGATGTACCACAAATCAAAGAAAACAAAGAATTCTCAGAAGATTCAAAAAAATATAGCCAGGTATTGTTTGGATAATTTCTTGAAAATATTTTTCTTTGCAATTCTTAAGTATTTCTCCACCTTTCTGCTGTCTCCAACTAACATTAGCCCAGCTCATTAAGTTTTGCTCTGCTTCAACATTTGTTGAATCTTTATGATCTATCGGAAATGGTGTGATTCCAAGGACACCCCTTTAGTGAAGAAATTTTTCCTAATATCCAATCTAAACTTCCTCTGGTGCAACTTGGGGCCATTTCCTGTGGTCCTGTCACTTGTTGCCTGGGAGAAGAAGCCACCCCCCACCTTGGTGCAGCCTCCTTCCAGGGAGTTGTAGAGAGCGATGATGGAAGTGTAAGCAGACATCAGTTTGGAGCAATCAACTGTGGCTTCTTTGTCCCATTGAAGTTACTGATGTGGAGCTGCCAGGCAGGTAACCTCAAGCAGGCCTCATCATATCTGAGCTTAACTTTTCTTTTTCCTTCTTTTTCCTCTGAAGTCTTTCTCTCTGATCATTCTCATAAATTCCTCTACAAACAGCTCCACTCTGCTCTTTCCCCGCTGGCCCTGGCTTTGCACCCTCATTTGGTGTTTCTGAGATGACATTAGGGGGAAGAATAACCCTCTGTGTCAGCTCAGGTGAGGTCCTGACTGCTTGAGCAGTGACTGTGGAGAGCCTGGGTGCTGCAAGGGATGCCACATGAGCCAGTGGTGCAAGGTCAACTGTGTATGGGGTTGCATTAGGAGTACCATGGCCACCCCATCTTTTTAAACCTCTTCAACCTCCATTCAACCCTAGAAATGTGCTGTAGCTGGACAATCACCATTCTCTACAGGCAGCTCCAGGTTCCCTTCATAGAGGATGGATGTTTTCAATGTGAAAGCCCTGGGTACATCCCTCAGTTCACTGACCATCTTTCATTTTCACCAGGAACTAATGGTGAATTGTTAGTCGAATCCTGTGTTTCTCAAGAGGTCTGAGCTTTTCAGTCCTGAACACATGGAGGAAATGAAATTTCAGTGCTGCAGTTTCTCAAGCCTCTTTGGAGGAAGAGCCCAGGCTGAAAGTGATGCACTGGGAAGATCCTGTTTTATTACAGAGTTCCTTCTGAGCCAGTGTTAGACACACAACAGAGCATCAGGGTAGGAGGTGACAAAAAGGATGGTGCATGACTCAGATGTAGTGAAGCAAATGCAAAAATTTTGCATGACAACCATGAATGACAACCAAAGCAATAATGATAATTATAATGATATTGAAACAAACAAATTTAATACAAACAAACTCCCCTCCCTTGGCCCCCTGCCAAAATACTTAATTCAGATAATCTGGGAGTCATTTATGGAGAGAGGTGGTAATCTTATTGCTGTGAAAACATATGTGGACTCACTTTCTTAATGGCATCCTCAAGCTCCCTGTTCCCTATGCTGTAGATAAGGGGATCCACTGATGAAGACACCACCAAGCATAGGACTGTCAACCACGAGATCTAGGGATGGGGAGGAGATGGAAGGGGGCCTCAGATATGCAAACAGGCCAGCACTGACATACAGGGAGACCACGGCCATGTGAGGAAGGCCAATGCCAATGTGAGTAAAAGCAGTACATGGAATTTTAATTGCTAAATTGGAAGATCTTCAAGATTGTGTATATATTAGCCTTAATCTTTCAGTGGGTCAGATGCTGAGAGCCAGAACTTAAGCAAGCTCTATCATGTTAAACAGGTACTATTGTCTAGTTGGTAATTTACGTTTTTCTTTTCTTAATCCTGCATTCAGCATAGTTACGGACCAGTTCCTGTACAAGACTTACATAACTGAAGTCTTATTATGTCCAAATGCAGTTTTCCGGCCCAACAGATTACTAATAGTAGTTAATGCCATTTGTTTTTTTGCTCTGCTGACCCTGAGGCAGTAGCAGGGTAACAGTGGATAAATGTGGGGTGTTACAGTTCTGTGATGCTCAGAGAATAATCGACAGCAGTGAGCTCATTCTTCCTGCAGTTAAAGAAGGTCTGTTAAAATTCTCCTAATGTGTCATGCTGTTACATAGAAACATTACTGCATATTCAAAATTGTATGGTACTTCCATTGCCAATAAAAAATTTCAGTGCAAATATTTCCAAGAGTGTTGAGATTTTTTTATCCCCTACTGAATTCTTACCTATGTTCCACTTCCCTTTCCAAATCCAGGAGCAGTTACAAAGACCAATGCTTATCTTGTGTGCATTCGCTTTATAGGTCAATATTCAACTGCCAGCCTTGAAGCAAACTGAGTTCAAGCACATTGACTTGGAACAGCAGAAACCCACTGAAGATGTACCTAAAGCAGTACCTACACTAAGACAGACAGACTTGATACAAGCTAAAGGTGAGATGGAAATCACTGTGTTACTAACAACTGGTTAAGAACAGTTGTAATTTAATTGAACATTTAAAAACATTTTTGCACACAAGATCAAGATGGAAAAAAGTGACACCAACAACCAGAACTTTAAGTAGTTTTCCAGCCTTGGAGAGGCACTACTGAAGCATTTTTATTGCTGGGATTTCTACTGGTTCAGTTTTGTTGTAATTGACACATTGCATATAAAGGTAAATACAAATATTTACAATTCTGGAGTCATATTTCTCATTTAATATGGAGAAAATACCCTACACTTTTGGAAGGCATGATTTTCAAGCACACTTAAAATATGCCTGCTTAGTAAGTTTGACACATCCAGCCTGCTACTCCTCCCTAAGGAATAGCTGAAAGTTAGGCTTAAAAGAAACACACATACATGCTTCCCACTTGCCACTGAGCAAAATGCAAGTAAGGACAATAATACAGAGGCGATCTGGTTACTTAACCTAATGGTTTAGTTAATGGTTTAGTGATTACTTTTGGTACTAAATTTCAGAAACTGTTAATTTGAATGGACCTTGTGTATCCATCTTGCACAGTAGTGTGATAGAATTTCGATTCCCTATTTAGTTATTCTTATATGCTATTTTAAATTACAATCTTGTCCACACGCAACTCTCATTTTAGAGAGCTAGCAATTGAAGACAGCATTACATATAGTTTATTTGGGCAAATTTTATCTTTTTTAGTTACAAATGCAGATATACAGGAAAAAAGATAAGTTAATGTCTGCCAAAAATGATAGCACTCCTCTACTTCCTCTTCATATTTAAAAATAAGAATGGCCGTGGTTTACCTGCAAAGCTGCCTATGTGACTGCTTTGTCCTGAGCTACTTTTAAATACTGAATCAATTTTATTGTTTCTAACAAAATGTAATACACAGAAACCTGATGTTTATATACCACACTGCAATTTTTATTTAAACTGCTTTATTTCATTTGCCCGAGTTATTAACCACACACCCCAAAATTTTACAGGAGGTAGAAGCATGAATCTGATGACGGTAAACAAAGTCTCCTTTAGCTGTTCCTAGTAGCAAAAACATGAATTATCTTCTTTGTATCTTTGGAATGGAGGCAGTTGAAAGATATTATTTCAGATGAAAAACAAGAATTGAATGAGAAATATAAAGCATTATTTATTAAAGGTTTTTAACTTGTGCCACCACTGAAAAGCATTATTTTTTTCACTCAGAATAATTTTTATTGTTTTCAGAAAGAATAGATGGCCCAGCTGACATCAGAAAACAGGAGCCTAAGGCAGAAGAGGAGCAGCTTTTTAGTCAATTGAAAAAACCACAAGATTCCCTCAAGGCTGCTGCAGGTCACAAGGAGATGCTACCTGAATCAGAGAAGGAGCCAAATCCATCTGGAAATGAAAAACATGTCGCTGGGCAAGATGAGTTACAGCCAGCACCAGAGCAGGCTGCCAGTGAGGAAGTTGAGAGGGAACAACTCCTAAATTATGATGTGAAGCAGGACAACTTGTCCCTGGGAAAGGCCGGTTCGTAGCATGTTAAGAACAGTATTGTTAAGAACAGTAAAGAAATGAAACTGTGGAATAGGGCATGATTTCTGCAACAGCAGTGGCAGCTGTCGAGACTTGAGTACAAGTTTTCACAAAGGTCGGTGTGATATGTGAAAGGTGTCAGTCAACAGCGGTCTTCTGCAGTCCATGGGTAAAGACGGAGGCTTCTGTTTGTGCAACATGGAGCTACCAGGCTGGGTTCCTCTGCATCACCACAGCAGCCTTACTGACTTTTTCTCCATTAGGCTGTACAAGGTATTTGGGTAAATTAGCCCCAAAATGTTTTGCTACTGGGGCTTCTTAAGAATAGGATGCATTTTAAAGGATGAGATGTTAACCATTCAAAGCACTGACGGATGAGAATAGAGAGTTACTTATGCATGGATGTTTTGCAGTTAGCATTACTATTGACACTGTAAAAAGACTAGCTATCAGTATTTCAAAATAAGATACATGACTAAAACTCTTAAGACTTCAGGTATCTGAAGTTTATTATTGTGAGTCTGCAAAAACATGGATCAGATGTTGTACAGGTGCTGGTTTCTGGCATCTGCCATGTGGCCTTGAACCACATCTCCACGGCACAGAGCAGCAGAGTATTGATGTATCTAAATCTGACCAGTATCTAGACATCCCTCTGTCTTTCTTGAGGGATTTGGTCTCAGGTGGACTCAGTAGCCCAGAGTAATCAAAAGAGAAAACCTTATGGCAGTCAGAGCAGGAACTGATGCCCACAAAAATTGCTGTTTATGGTTTTCTAGTAAAGACATTCTTAGAATCATGAGTTATGAATTGTCTGAGTGTTAACATTGTTGCTAACTTGGCAGGGATAAATAATCCCTGATAAACTAACGTCATTGATAAACTAGTATTTTTCCAACTGCTCCAAAAAGATGCTGGCCAGAGCAGGCTGCACCCCAAAGAGATGTAATTAAAAGTTACCTAAAATGCTGCCATTTTAACAGAAATAAATAGCAAAAAGATTAGGTTAAAAAATCATCCAACAATTAGAGCAAAGAAAAGCTCTGCCATGCAGCCTGTGAAAAGTCCACATTTCTGTGAGCAAAAAAGACTAGCAGTATGTTCTTCAGGCTGATTGTTCTACAAAAATACCATAATTACTGCACAGGTTCCTTGAGCCAAAGGAGCCCTAAGGTAGAAATACTTCTTCAGTATTCTCTGCGCATCCTCTGTCTTTCAGGAAGAGCTGCTTCTGAAAGTTTGACAGCTTTAGGTCTGTAACTATAAAAATCTATTTGATGTGGTGGTCTGAATATGGACAACATAAGGCTTAAAGCTTAAATTTTCAAGCCTGTTTCTAAGCCACTTACTAACTGGAGGGCTTGGCTTAAGAATATTTTGAACTAGAAGCTCTAATCTATCTTGAGTGGAGTATGTTTATACCTCTTGTGGGATATGCTCATACCTTTCTGCTGTTATGTTTTTTTTCTGGCTGATTATTTGAAAAATGAGGATAGTAGTTTAGCAGTCAGAAATAATGTTTTCATTTACTTTTGAGCTCTCTATCTAAAGAAATCTTAAGATAGTCAATAAAAGTTGCTTGAGATGAGTTAACGACTGAGTGAAGAAAATCTCTTCTAGGAAAGTAGTTTTGTGTCAGGTTAGCACATCAAACTACTCTCTTTTTTATGCTATATTCACAGCTTTTCCCTTGCTGGACAAACTAAAACAAGAAGGGCAGAAGCTGAGATGTTTTGGTAGTAGTGGCAATACATTTAAAAACAATATCACAGTCAAGTTTTCAGCATTGGCTTCAGCTTTTGCTCTTCCTTAGGCTGTCCTTTAATGTATTCTGAAATTGTTCAATGCTTTTTCTTTCTGTCCATCTGAGTGTTGGCTGAATTTTATCGCACTTTCCAAATCCCAAAAGATTCTGGCTTTTATCTGGTTCTTCAGACAAGATTTACAGCAAAAGTTGCTCTGAAATTTAACATTCAAAATGAAAAATAATATGAAAACCTACTCTGAACAGCAATTCATTCAGCAGCCAAGTAAATTACATGGAAGTTGATTACAGTCACTGTTTCTCTGTGCAATGACCCTATGGTATAGCATAAAACTGCTTCATTTTAAATCTTTTCAGACAAACAGGAACATGAAGCAATGAACCAGGACAAGGATGTTGTTGATTACAATTTAGATGAGAATGAAGCTGAATCAGAAACAGACAAGCAAGCAGCACTTGCAGGGATTGAAAATGGTAAAAAAGAAAAAAAAACATTTAAAGACAAATACCACATGCTGAAAATTTTAAGATGGTATTTTGCATGGTATTCTGTAGTAAGATATACCAAGCTAATTTCTGTTTGTTCTTTGAGCTTTCCCTCATGTTGATAGCGTGATTTATTTTCTGTATAGCATCACTGAAGCTACTCTTTAATGGGGGGCATGAAGGTGTGGTATCTGTAACTTTACTATACAGTATTTAATAGTCTTTACAAAATTTCTCCTGTAGTTTTCTACACAGAAGAACTTTTTTTATGAAGAACCATCTCTTCTGCCTGTTAAAGAGATTTCTGTACCTTTTTTATCTTCATTAGTTCAAAACCCTGAAGATATGAAGAACCACTTATCTGACCATGGTGAAGGACGACAGAAGTTGTGAACAAAGGAGGTTCATGATGCAACGTAGTCAACTCTTCATCTATATGCAGCAATGATGAGTGCAAAGTGATCTGAGAATGTTTTGATTACCTTCTTGAGGCTTGAATAAGGGCCCAAAATGAAGTAGTATCTTCCTGTGAAGATACTGAAATCAGCAAGCAATAAATGTAGTAACTTTGAAGTTGGCTATAGTCATACTACAGTAATGGTATATGTGGATTGTTGGTACATGAGTAACAGTCCTCTGCCAAGGATGGATGTCTCCCCTGAGCAATGCACAACAGAAATACCAGCCTAGTTTTAAAAACTTAAGAGGAGCTAAGCCACCGAACATGGGAAGGATGAAAACCAGTCCATGCTGCTATCTACCCTTGTGCCTATTCTGGCACCTTTTTACTGCAACATAAATATACTCAGAAAACAGAATGATATATTTCACCTGGGCCTTCTAAATTAAGTTTCTAGTTTACACTTAGCTTCAAGGTTAAAAAAAAAATCAAAACAATTCTGATAATAGTGCCTTCTTTTTAAGAGATTAGGCAGGAAAATTTTTCTGAAAGCTTTGTTGGACTCTTGTTCACAAGTTCAGTACTACAGTATAGTTCACTTACCACTAACTTGCACAAGTTTAGCACAAAAATTCAAACTCACAAACTTTTCATGACAGAAGCCCTCTGAAATGGTGTGCTACCCTTTACTCCACCCAGCCACTATCTTCTGCTAAAATGTAGGAAGGCAAACGTTTGCCTTGTAGAACAGCAATCATCTCAGCTGTTGAATGTGAATATTCCTCTCTGCTGGACTTCTGAGGGAGGTAAACCAGACTAAGCATTTAGAAGACATGGCAGTGACTCCTACAGTTGAAGCTGTAGTTGTTGTAAAGTCCTGTGTTATTCACAGTCTATCATCCTGTTAATTTTCTGTAGTCTTGTATTTTCTGTAGTCTTGTTCAATGTAAACTAGAAACTAGTTTACTTGCAGTAACCTAGAAATATCCTCTACTTACACTAGGGCACCCTTTACTACAGTCCAACCTGCATGTCTATAGCCAGCTGTTTCGAAGGATTTTTGTATTTGTGTCTGTTCCCAAGACTGACATCTGTGTTTAGAGCAATCTTTGTGAGTATGAACCAACCTCTGTTTAGACAGCAGACAGTCGTGCCTAACTTGCCAACCAGCAATTCCATTTAAGAAAATATAAATTTGTCTTTACTTTACCTTTAATTTTGTAACTAACTCTTTTTGTGATGTGTCACTCCTCAGTGTACTACTTTACAACTCTTGAACCTTAAGATACCTAAATATGCAAGTGGAAGGTTGGCTTTTTTGTGTATGAAAAAAGTATTAGTTTTCATCAAGTGAAGGTCAGAGCTTAAGTCAAATGGTGCCTATTAAGCCCAAATACAGAAACATTTCACTGATAGTTTTTCACCATCTAAGTCAGACTTAGGTCTGGGCCACTACAGTCAACACAGCAGGGAAAAACAAATGCTTGTAAGCAGAAGAGAAGAGGTATGAGCATCTGTTCTGGTATTGGGAAACTTGGATTATTGGCTTTTTTTTTTTTTTTCAAATAATGGCATGTTTTAACATCAAAATGTTTACCTGTATTCTGGATGATAAAATTATTTACCCATCTTCTCAGCATTTTCATAGGACTTTATCTGTAAACAGTTAGGCCTCTCAGATTAAGTTGATCAGGAATTTAATATTGATTGCTAAAGAGCATATGTTCTATGAGTATAAAATACACAGTGAAACACTGTATTCAAGTTGAATTAATAGCTTTACCATTATCAAGTTAAGAATCCCAAAGAAAAACTACTTCTTTTGAACATTTTTTCCCCTCTTGTAGTAGGAGGTTGCTCAACACAACAGCTAACCTCTGTTATTTCACATCTTAAAGCACAGGAGGCAGAACTATTCTAGGAAGGAAGGGGGAGGTTTGGGGCCTCTCCTGTTTTGGATATCTATCTCTGTCAATCACTACAGAACACAGTAGGATCCAGCAGCCCCACTAGAGTCAAAAGCGGGGGAAAAAAGGTAATTTAAGAACTGAGTGATGTAACAAAGTAGCAGTCCCTTCTTTGCAAGGCAAGTAGCATGATTGAAACAAAGTTGCAGAATAAAAATACCCCTATGTCTGGTGCTATTGCTAGTGACTATGGCAGTGTTTGCTGGGCAGATTGTCCAGTACTGTGAAAATAAAGACAAAGGAACAAACTCCAACTAGGAATCACTCCATTTCTCACTGTATTCAAAGGCTTCTTCTACATTTCAGACAAAACATCTCTGAGAAAACTGACTTTGGTAAAACAAAACAAAACAAAAAAATCACTGAATTCAGTGCAGTAGGAGCTAAATGACTAGTTTTCATCTGCCCTTGATTTCTGTAAAGACTGTTTTAGTTTGCAGGATGTGGGGGAAAAAAACCACTCCGTTCTCTCTACTTGCAAAGTGAGCAATTTTGATACAATTTAGACAAAAATATGGAAACTCACAATCCCTCTAAGTGACTTTGCTGAATGGAGAATTTTGCATGATTTTTATTCAGTCCCTAAACCACCATTTTCTCTCAGAACACATTAATAAAAATTATTATTAACTCTGTAATAAAATCAATTAAGGTATGACATTCTTCAACAATACAGTTGATTAAAATCAGCTTCACACATAAAATGCATTAAACTTTATACAAACCACTTTAAAACAGCAGTTGGGAATCAGATCAAATGAAGGCAGCAGACTACACATATTCCACATAACAGTACTTGTATCCTGGAGTCTGAGTGCAAGCCTAGATATTCCCTCTGACAGCTGGTATCTGCTACACAGGTATCTTCAAGTATCCTAACAATAATTTCTTGTCCTTCAAACAAGCTTCACAACTGGGAAGTATTTATGAGGAGAGAAATCAAATTCTGGAGGAACCTAGAAAGAAAAGGTTTAAACATTACACAGCAGTATTACTGCATTTGATACTCATAATGAGAATACCTTGCAGACAGAAAAAAAAAACCTAACAGCAGAAGACTGAAAAACAAATAGTCCTAGCTCTTTAAATTATTATCTGAAAAACACTCTAACCCATGTCTGGATATGTCAATCATTATTCAGCAGTGATGGCCACAAAGTTGTAGAATGCTGGTGGTGTGCCTCTTAGGTGTGTTCCTTCATCCTTCTGTGCCTCTGACCCATGCAGTGGCACTCACTAATCCTGACAGCCAGCACTCTCACAATTTTGTTCACACAAGCTGCTGATACATGTGATACTTGTCCCTGCTCTTGAAGAATATCCATATTTTTCTGTATTGTCCCACATGCTTTTCCCAATTTTTTTTCCTCAAAACATTTAGAGATGCAAGTTTTCCATATTTAAATAACTACAACAAACTATTTCCAAGGGAAAAATGAATTAAGTTTCTTTTCCCTGTTCTTTTAACAGTTAGAGTAACTATGGCTTGAATCTGTTCATTTGGCTCCCAAGAGATCTGTGGTGGCTTTGCATAGAATCACAGGATCATTCACGTTGGAAAAGATCATTGAGTTCAACCTTAATGTATATAACACTATATTTTACATTCAATTCAGCTGGCATTTCCTTACCTTAGAGTCTTTCTTGTGGCCTCCTGCCAGCAGCTTCATTACCACAATATTGGGTTTTGCAACTTTTAGAATTCGATTGACCTAAACACAAAACAGCAAGAAGTCTTCAAATGAAAGCATAAGACCTCATTTCAAACTATTTCAAAGATAATACTTTAATGTTTATATACTCTAACACTACAGCATTTCTCTTACAAGACCAATTTAACAGATATCACAGTGTTTTGGATTTGCTGGAATAAGAAAAGAACCGGAATAATTAAATTTAATGAAGGGTGCATTTATTTTCATAGTCACTTTTTATTAAATTCAACAAATCATAGAAACCACTGCTTTAAAAATTCTGGAACATAAACACGGAAACTATGGCAGATTCTGTGGCACTCTCACAAATAAGGTATAGATAGACTCTAGGCATCTATCTTCAACATTACAACACCCTGAGTGAGAATGGTAAACTCAAGTATGAAACTGGTGGCTTTTTGCATGGAAGTGCTCTCGACATCCTCAAAACTACCTCTGAACTATCTTGGTTAGCCACAAGTAGACAGCTTATGTGTGAATACCACCAGGATCCAGAGAACAGGATTCCTAGATGCTCAGGAGGACCTAATCCTGTAACTATTCTTAACCTGCTCAGATGTGACAGAAAAAGCATCCTCCTTCCTCCAAAATACAATCACAAGACACTTAAGCTTTTAGGCTATGGACGAAGATGGAAAAATTCTTGTCCATGTTTACAGCTCAGTGCTGAGAACACTGCTCCAGGGAACACATGCAAGACTCAATGCTCTTTTCATCCTGATGATATTCAAACCTATTTTTCCCACCTTTCAGGAGTCCATCTAAATTAGCAGATTCCAGATAAGTGGGGTGGGCATGTATCAGTTAAAACAGCTATTAGAAAGGGGTTAGAAGTCAACATGCAAGAAGGAAATATGTTGCTATCCAACGTCTAAGATCCTCAGCAGAGAGAGGTTTGGGAGCAGTGGGCACAACCTTGATTATGTTGTCTGATGTACTGAAACAGATCACTGTGCAAGATGCCACCATTCTTCTCTGTCCACTCTTTAATCAAAGCACTCAGCTTTGTTCAGCATTTTGATGAAGTACATTTTGGACCTCAATCAAGCAGATCGAGCTGAAAACAAATACTAGTTTGAGCAAATGCTCCTTTTCTCAGTATTTCAGTCTTACCTCATTGTCTGGATTCGGAATATTCTCAAGAATCATTTTAGCTTGCTGGTAGTGTTTGCTAGCTGCCATGTAGAGATCTGATGACTGGGGAGGTGGGCTATACTTATTTAAATCAGACATTTCCTAGTGTGTTATAGAAATATATAAATATATATTAAAATCATAAATTAAAATTATATTTTCATCACCTGAAATGAAAGCAAATTACTATATTCAAGAAAACTTACGTCAACTAAATACTATTTTAAGAATAAAAACTGAAGTTGAAAACATTTATATGAAATGGTAGAACCCAAGCAGCAACACAGTGCTCAATGACTACTTTCTAGTGCCACAAAATGCAATGAAATTCTTATATTATTTATAAAAAATCCTTCTCTTCAACAACTTATCATTCACTTTCTTTAATAGTGCCATGCAGCAGGGTATGAAATTACAGGAAAAAATAGGAGAAAAAAAAAGTATATTATATTGTTTACTCAAATCAAGGTTACCACAAGCGAAGTGCTGAAACTGTTCAAAACTTCATTTTATATAATTTTCATTCTTTCAACTTTTTGGTTTTTTGACTAGGGATAAAAAAAACCCACCAAACTTCAGTGACAAGGAGGAAGTCATGATAGTCTTAATTTCCACTACAGCTATTCATAACATTAAACTGGGAAGAGTGACTGGCATACAAAATAGCGCTGTTTCAGTTCAGACTAACCCCCTAAATAATAGAGGCTAATAACCAGCTGGGTGAGCAGCAGGGTTATTGCAAACACCAACTTGAATACAAGCCAACAAGGTGCTCTTATTACAAATCAAACGAGCCTTGTATAGGAATAAACAAGCAGGAGTATGGCCAGTAGATCAAGGAAGGTTATCATCCTATACTCCATATTTGTGTTGTAATATTTGAAATGCTGCATCTGGGGCTGGATCCACTCAGTTCAAGAAAGATACTGAGATATGGAGGTGGCTAGGAGATTACAGCATATGAGCCACAGGGAGAGATCAATGGACCTGGACTTTCTCAGTTAGGCAAAAAGGATGCTAATGGGTCATCTTAATAGCAGCCTACAACTACTTGAAAGACAGTTGTAAAGTTGCCAGAAGGCAAAGGCTCCTTGTTAATAATGGTAGACAATATAACACGAGAGGCCACAGGTTGTGGTTTGGGTAATTCAGACTGGACATAAGGAAAAAGGAGAATAGTACAGCCCTCAATCAGGTTATCCAAAGACTTAATGGAACAGAAAAAGTAACTGCATCAGGTTAATCAAAAAAGTTGGAAAATCTCCAACCTTCGATTTTTTCAGACAAAGATAGATCTAATGTGATCTATTATGCTACTTCAGGGAGGAGACTGGACAAAACAAGCCTCCACTGGTCCCTTCCAACACTCAAAATTACTTTCAGTTTTTCCATTTGCTTGCTGCACTAATAAAAACATGCTGCTATAATTAACCACAGCCAAAAAGTCTATCAATGGACTTCCAAGAGATTTTATTTTCATGCAAACCAACACTGGCATTTCAAACTGCCACATCAGACCAATTTTAAAACATCTAAGCATCTAAGTTTAGTAAGAATTCAAAGCAATGTATCTTCCTTGCACATAACCAAGCTAGAACTCCTTGCCATTTGGACTTAGCTTCAGTATGAACTTTGGGACATTAAAGCTCTTTTTACAATGACAACAATGTCTAAAGCATGTGAGTAAATGACTTCTATAAAAGCATGGACAGCACCACATTTTAAGATTACTCACTTTAAATTGCAGGTAGTGCACTGGTGGTGGCGTTATAACACTGTTGAATGGAGCAAACCTGTGCTCATATCGAACTTGTTCACTATCCAGTTCAAATTTAGGTTTTCTTACTTTGCCATCCATATCAAATGCGATCATTGTCTACAAGAAAAGGATAAATACAGTAAGAAGTGTTAGCTTTATGCCATATTTTGCTGCAAGCAAGATCAAAGTTATGATTTAGCTATAACTGGAAGGACAAAAAACAGTAGAGAATTTACCA